ATTGTGACGGGTGACACTTCAATACAAAAGAGAAGACTGTATTTGTACTCATACGGTTAGTTTATTGTCTCTTTACACAAACTTGTGTGAAGATACTCATGTGTGTATGGTTAAAATCTGTAAATAAAATAAAAGAAAAAATGCTTAAATAACTGACAAAAAACCTAGAGCACATTATATATAGAAATAAAGAAACAAACAGATAAATAAATATTAATAAAGTGAATACATTATATAATAAAGAAAAATGACATTTCTTTTGAATTATCCACGAGTCCACACCCAAATTTTACTGAGACTTTTAAATACCACAATATATTTCCCTAAAACTAAATTTTCACTCAATATGAATTTGATAGTAACAATGACAGTTGTTAAAAGCAAAGTACATGAAACTTACAATTTTTTTGTCCTCTTTTTGTATGACAAATTTCTATCTTCTTGGATGTCTGCATAAACTCAACTGCTTGCACCTAAGCTGTCTGTCTAATCAACTACTCATGCTAAGTGGTAAGTGGCAGTGCCTATTATTAATAGGGTGTGTGTGGACTATACTATATGGTAGGGGTGACAGGTTATGTCCTTTACACCGGCCCCTTAAATGTGAGATTATAAATTGAACATTTACCTAATATACTTCTAAAGGACAGAACTTAATTCTATGTATGAAGTACACTTTACAATATAAACATATCAGTTATATGGTACATCTAAAGTTAACCATACTCCTTAAATGTCAATCTTAAACACAATGTCCACTGTTTAATTATTGTCACTTTATCCAATGTCCTTCATGGTAACCTCCATGAATTATTGTCCTCATTTATCATTTTCCATGTCTTGAATGTCCTCCATGAATATCCTTTCCATGAATGAAATCCATTGTTATAACAGTCTCTGACTTTAACATAAACTGAATAATAAATGAAATTCAATTAACATATGTTATCATAGTCTCTGAACAGTCCATAATAAAACAAAAGTAATGAAACAGTCTCTTAAGTCTCTTAGTCTATAAATCATACAGTTCTGCATTCTGAGACCTCTTCCAATAAGCACAACTTGGTTATAGGCCTCATCAAAGTTGTGTTGACAGTTTGTACTTCTGCAGATCTTACATGTCCATCTCTCCCTGGAAAAGTTTTAATGACTGTTGCAATTTGCCACATGTTCCTTGGAGTGTTATCTGCAATTAAAACAACATCACCAATCTGTATATCACGTCTTACAGTCATCCACTTTTGTCTGCTTTGTAATAATGGCAAATATTCTCTCACCCAACGTTTCCAAAACAAATCAGCAAGGTACTGTATGTGACGCCATCTTTTACGACTGTACATATCTTCCTTCTGAAATCTACCAGGTGGAAGTGTTGGGCCTGAACGCAAAAGGAACAAATGATTGGGTGATAGCGGTTCTGGATCTCTGGGATCATCTGAGACATATGTTAGTGGTCGACTGTTCACTATGCTTTCCACTGTGCACATAAGTGTAGAGAGTCCTTCGTCATCTAAGGTCTGCTCTCTCATGACTCCACTTAATATTTTACGAATTGTCCTGATCTGTCTTTCCCATGATCCACCCATGTGTGAGGCTGCTGGTGGGTTAAAGTTCCACTTAATCTCTCTCTGTCTGAAAAATTCACCTAGTTTTGTTTGGTTCCATCCCTGTACTGCTTCTTTCAGCTCCTTATCTGCACCTGTGAAGTTTGTGCCATTATCTGAATTGATTTCCTTGGGCATGCCCCGTCGGCTGATGAACCTCTGTAATGCATTTATGAATGAACTGGTATCCAGTGAATGTGCTATCTCAATGTGAATAGCCCTGATGGTTAAACAAGTGAAAATGCACCCATATCGCTTCACAAGTTTTCTGCCTTGTTTAACGTGGAATGGTCCAAAGTAGTCGACTCCCGTGTATGTGAATGGCGGGTTTCCAGGTGTGACTCTGCTGGCAGGCAAATCGGCCATCTTCTGTGTGCTACAGGGAGATTGTCTTTTTCTACATGTGAAGCAATCATTAATTACTCTGCGAATAGCTGTTCTTGCTCCTAATATCCAAAATTGTTCCCTTGTCATTGATAAAGCATATTCTCTACCTGAGTGACCTGAATCAATGTGGAACTGTCGGATCAGCAAATCAGCTATGTGATGTCTTGGTAATATCATTTGATGTCTGGCGTCATGTGGTATTGGAGCTTGAGTCAATCTTCCTCCTACTACAAGTACACCGCCTTCTGACAGCTGAGGGTCGAGACGATGCAGATTTTTATGTCTCAATTTGGCATTGGTAGGGTCTGATTTCTTGAGTGCTGCTATTTCTTTGCTGAATGCTTGTCTCTGTACATATTTGATGATTTCAATACTGGCTCTTTGTAACTCATCAACAGTAAGTGATCCACTGTCACAACTTGCATTGACCTGTACTTTAGCTTTTAGCCAGTTTTTGAAACGTAACCACCAAGCTACATCTCTTTTTAGTCTATACCACGAAGACTGCCTATGAAATATCTTGTCAACAGCCGTGTCTTCTGATCTCTGAGCCTGAGTCACATGTGAGGTGACTTTCACTTCCAGAGCCATGTTGTTGTCTGCATGTAATATGTCACCTGGTAAACTTGGCCACTGCTCTTCATTTTTCCGTAGGAAACTTGGTCCTTCTTTCCATCTCTTGTTATGGAGAAGTTGGTCTGCTGTTTGTCCCCTTGAAACGTCATCTGCTGGGTTGCTTTTGGAATTTACATAGTGCCACTGGTTCGGCTGTGAGCCTTCTCTGATTACTGCCACTCGATTGGCGACGAAGGTCTTGTACCGATTGTCTTCATTGGTTATGTATCTCNTGAAAGGAAAAAAAGATAAACATGTATGTCCTTATTCAGAATCCGTCTCCTGACCTCTTTGGATGACGTTCACATAATACACTTCACTGTTTATTCGCGGGTATTTGTTTTATGCACACTCTTTTCATCGTACGCTAAAACAATCCAGTCTGATTTTCAATAGAAACAGATAAGAACAGTATTTTTAGTTATAAGAGCAATTGTTTTTTACGTATACTAACGTTATCCGTTTCCTAACTCCGTCCGTCATACTTGGACTGCCTTCAGCTTCTCTGGACATAGTGTTCTGCCTTTGTGTCTGTGCTGCATAATCAACTGTGCTGATTACAATATACATGAACATGAAATGGGCGTGTCATTTACCTTGTGGAAAGAATAAAATACTTTTTAAATCAAAAAAGTGTCTGTTATCGATGCATGAGGAAAGTAAATGATAACATCTAATTATTAATCATTGAAGTATATTTAAATATTGTATATTCGTGTACATATTAAGCCCTTGACAGTGCATCCAAAAGAAACGCATTAGCTTAAAATTATAGCGTTGGTTTTTTTAAAAAAGATACTAATATATAATATTTTGTTTGATTTTGGCCAAATACATCTTACCTTTAAGCATAATATTTGTTCGGTCGATTTATTGTCCCATTGAATTCTGTTTTAAGTCGCTACGACAAGTATATTACAGCCATCAGCACTGCAATAATGAGTTAATGACTTAATGCCTCTGATACGCCGACGACACTTTTAATGATGACAGATAAATAAGCTCAGCTAATTTGAGCTATCACGTTTCTTGTCAAAACCAGTGTTTTTTTCCTGTGATGATAGAAAAAAATTCAATTCAAGTGTCAGTTAAGGACATTTCCAGAGTTTCTTTTTATCTATCCATGAATATTGCTCAGTGCATTTATTTGTCTATTCATTAATCTATTTATTCACTCATCCAATTTAAGTTGCCATTAAGTTCTCTGTTACGTCTCAATTAATGTTTATCATTTTATCGTTTTTACAATTGTTTGAGATTATCTACAATTAACGTTTTGCTTGCAATTGCTTGCAACATTCAGTTAAATTAACGGCACCTGCATACAATGCCCTTCTACGCGAGGGAAATAAATGTACATCTGCATACTGATATTGGGTAACAACAATGGGACAAGGGCAGCATTGCCCCGATCTTGTGAGCACGCTTTCCGCTTAGAATATGCATCGTATTTTTTATATATTCATAAAGGTTGGAAAATGTAACATTAAACACATTAAAAAATTATCAGGGAAGAGTACACTTAACTTCATAGTGTTGGGAAAGCACGCTGAGTTCCTGAATCGGTGGTTAAACAGTGACGAGATGAAATCGTTTTTCGTGAATTGCACACCAAAAAGTGGGGACCGGATATAGCTAATTTAATTAGTCTCATTTAATATTCATGTGACCGGGTTATAACGTCATAAGTGGAATTCTCTACTATTTACGCTAAGTCCCTATGCCGAATCTGAATGGGGAAACGAAACTACGGGTTCACACTAGCTGTGGTTTCTCTGACGCGTGTCTGAAGGAAACGAAGTAAGATTGTGTCATAACATCTGTGAATACTAGCTCAGATGACAGAATTTACTTACACATTGTTGTTTTATAAAAAGCAGTGTGCATTTCAGGTTATTAAATCCCGAAATTGAACGATTTGTAGATTAATGCACAACAGCCCATTTTCGTCACCCATCAAAATTTGAGACGCAGAGCAATTTTTGTTTCTCTCTAGTGTGTGTTCCGTAAATAGTCCCTGAGATGACCAAATACATGAAAATACTGCTCTGAGAGCTTTTTTCCCATAATATAAAGCTGCAAAACGGACAGGTATGCCTGAGACCCAGATTTAAGCTCTATTTTAGTGTCAGGCTAAGAATGAAAAAGTTTGAAATACACACCAATGTTTGGAAACATAAAACTGTTTGCTGTAATAAAACAAAGCTATCCTTTCACATGAAGGCACCCCCATTGTAACCAGACGCATAGGAATATATTGACAGACTTTTAAAGATGATCACCCAGTGCTGTCACCCAGTATCTCGGACGTGCAGATACCCAGTATATACATGTACATTTACCGAAAACTAATGACTGGCCATTAGTACACGTATAGGTCGACTTCACGTGATAGATAGCATATTCCGTTATTCGGTTTTGGGGGCATGTCTTCTGAAACGTCCAATCTCGGGTAAGAGATAAGTTTTTCTGTTAGTGATGGTTTCATTGATTTTATTTTGCTTAGAGTTTCGTTTCATTGTGTGCTTTATAATCGATGTTTGGATAACGCCTGGCGTGTCTATAATGAAGAACACCCAAGTGCATGTGTCTGTTTACCAGCTACACTAATATACTCATAAAAAGAGGTATTTCCTGTTTTTCCTGCCCTCCACGTAGCGCAGCATCCTCTTCATGACAGATCGTTGAACACAATCAATGAAAGATAGTGAGATGTCTGGTTAGACAATATAGAAACTTGTTACAAATAAGGCCAGACCAAAGTAGGTAAACTAGTAAACTAGTGGTGACTCTCTGTTGACAGGATTTAAATTCACGATTGTTGTTTTTTTTAAGCATACGATGTTTAACAAGCATAAAAACAACGTTTTCTGGGTCAGTTGATTTTTCTACCAATTTTACTATTTAGGGAATTAATGTCGAATCCACACTATGGGCGATTTAAGAGCAACAACAGCATTTATATTTTCTGCAGTAATTTTTAAATTTCCCCCTCTTACTAAGCCAGTATACGATGCAAATCCTTTTTTAAAAAAAAGGAGCGATAAATATTACAATTTCCTCAAAATTAGGGTCAATTGCGCTCGTTAAGTAACTTATCAATTTTTGTTGCTAAAGACCAAATTTATAGCCTAAGAAGTAATCACAGATAGCTAATACCGACAGGAAGATGAAGAACAATTTAAGATAATGTTACTATAGTAAATCAGGAAAAGGAATAAAGTAGAAAAAAGAATTCAATCTGTAAAAATTCATTGATATTTTTAATAAGGGAGTCGACCCTACGTGTTGACTTGGATGCATACTCTGATGTATCTTTAACGACATGTTTAATAGTTTATGATACGTAACTTGTCTTAATATTATATTGCAATTAAAAATTCAAAAAGGTTACCATTTTCGATCTATAAGCAATTTAGATTCAAATGATAGGAGTGTGTTTTTGAGTATTCCAATTGACACGTGTGTACCCAATGTACAAGAAAACCTCTCCCATAGCTTCTATATCTGAGAGCCAGGTGCATGTAAATTAAAAAAAAGAAAAAAATATCCTATCCTTTTCGATTGGCCATTCAGTTGTTGAGAGTACGGTTTCTAGTAATTAAAGTCTTAATCTAACGTACTCAACATTATTATAGAAATGAGACGTGAGAAAAAATTGAAGACAATAGCAATGTATTTATTTCAAAAATATAAGTCATAAATTACGTAACAAATATCAAGTTTATACTAAATTAGCGAAATAAAACTTAAAACTGCAAGCTTTGGTATGTCTTCGAACATTCAGGCATCCAACTTTTTGTCAAATAGCATAAATACGGTAGTTGTAAGACAACATACAATCTATCCAGGTATACATCGCACTTTAAATAATGAAATAATAAAAAAGGAAGTGGATACTGATGTTATTTTCAATAAAAGAAACATTGCTGCTTGTTTTATTAAACCCACAATAAACAGGCATTTAATAACCGTGGTTGAACAGAAGATACGTGTTGCAACATTGTCACGCACAATGATGATGATCAATGGTACAAATGTCGAGGTCTACTTAAGCATATTGCAGTAACTATAGCGAATATATATATATTTCTTGGTGGAAATTTGTAGGGATCTCACTAACACTTTCTATGTGAGATTGCTGGAGACCCTTGAAACGCGAAGCCTTTGGGCATCACAGACACTCGACCCAGGAGGTGCGAGGATAAAAAAGTGAGGAAATGGCAATTTCGCTGATGATTAACGATAGGTCGATTTACTTACATATATATATTACCACTAAATATCACCTTTAGGGCCAAACTGCGCATCAGTTTAATCTGGCATCAGTTTACAGAGACAAATCGAATTGTACACAGAAAGGCCGTTCATTTGCGAAAGTGCAAGCCAACTTTGGAGAATTATTAACCTGTACAAATCAATTATATATACTAATTCTGTATAATACCATTTTGATAGCAGATTGATAATGTGATAACACGACGCCGTTCACTGACACCGCCTTACATTAACATCTGTCATTGCCGTACATCCGCCTTTCTCCTTGCTGCGTGCACCATTTATTGTATATATACTAATCGTTCTCCACTAGAAAACTTTGTGCCTAATATGCTACCAATACAAATACATAATAAAAGCATAATCTTTCCTTCAAAGTTAATAAATTGCTTCATCATCGCAATGGTGTTGGCAGTGATTTTTTTAGTTTTTTTCCGTTTTCACAGTTAATTTTACCATGTAATAAAAGCAACAAGTGACGCTGATCACATTAAATGTCGAAATATCACTCGGCTGTACGTAAACATTAAGTGCACAGTTCATTTTATAATTCAAACATTTCCAGTTTCACCCATTCCCTTTATAGCTAAACCACTAAATAGGATGAAGCATCCATCTAGGAACGTCCCACTTGGTTTCAGTGGGATAAGCAAGTGCCAGGTTTATTTCCCATATGTCATTTGTTCTGACGGGAAAAGCAATTTACAGATGTCGCCAGTCCACTCAATAATATATAACTGTTTAAGCAAATGTACAAATCCTGGCCATTAATTAATTGGATTAGGAATCACACTACATTAGATATAAGGTTTAAGATACTCAATTCTGGCGTTGAATAAACCTACGCCTCTGCCATAGTGTCTTAATTCTGATATTGTTAAGTCATTTAACTGTTGCTTTAATAGTTTTTTCTTATTCAGAGGAAATATAAAGAGAGTGGGAGGCAGCTTTCTAAATCCAGCGTTTCGTTTCTAATTTTGGCGTTTGATTACGTTGAAAGATAATCCAAGCACAACTTTTCAGAGCAAGTTACACCGAACCCGGTTATCATTGAAAAGGACAGAATAATTATGTGACTTACAGACTAAATAACTGTAAAACATTAACTATATCGTTAATTGATAAAAAAAAGGCACAGTGCAAACTATGAGTCATTTCAAATTGAAGGTGGGCCGACTAGTGCGATTGTAAGATTGTTGCAGGTCACCCGAAGATGAAATCTATAACCATACATGTATAGAATGCAGTCATATCATCATGTTTTATCGCCCACTGCTTGTGAAATTAAATCAAAACATTTAGATTGACTCCTTAATTTAATTAACATCTTAGATAAAGTTAGGTATCTTCAACTGAAACCACCGTTTTACACGTAGAACACAACAATATATAAATTAACAATTGTTCACATAAATGTGCACGCACCATTCAGTCTATTTTACATTAAAAATAAAATATGTATATATAAAATAGACATCAAATATATTTTTAGAGACTGATTTTGATATACACACCGACCAATCTTCCACTTTTTTACGTTTACTAATTAAAGTTGAAAAATTAATGCGTCATTGGAGCGGTCCGAGCGGAATGTGCCATCTTAAATTCCTTTTCACCTTTAAATCTGCCTGTTGTAATGAGTCAAAAACATCCCTGAAAGCTGTCAAAAAAGTAATAATTCTGGCGACATGAAATTGGACAATTTTGAAAATATCAACTTTTTGTTCTTTTTGGATATTTTTATTTCTTGCAAACTACGAATGTATTACTATATGTTATGGCTCTGATGATATTGAATTTTTAAAAGTAATGAAGTCGTTACCCAAGTTAAAATGTCGTTTGCATCGGAAGAAAAAATCACGGTTACAGTAGTAAGGTATGTGACCATAATAAGTAACATAATCAAATATAGTAAGGGTTTCTGTGTCACATGGATGCAGCAGCATGCTAAGTACATTAAAATCAATTGTTTCTGTTTTACTACCTTTAGTCCCTTTAGGTAGTCGTAAGGACAACTTTTTTTCACCCAGGTAAATTTTTTTCCTTCACATAAAGCTTTTTAAAATCTTCAAAACAAAAAATTGTAGGAAGGAGTAAAAAAAGGAGTGATCTTACGCCTTTGAGTGTATATTGGAAGGGATAGATTACGCATGGGTTAATGAAATACAACAAGATTTCCCGGGGGAGGGGGACTGTGGAGTAGTTCACTGGTTATGTAAAAGATGTCATGATTGTATACCTATTAATCTCATTATGTTACGATGACAAATGCCACTGTAAGCAGTAAATGAAAAGAGAAAAGCACTTATGCCCAGACGCGTTTCAATCTTTAATAATGTGGAGATAGGACCACATCGCTTTTAAAACGGGCTGTAGGGTGAATAAGATGTCAGCTCTTCTTTTTTCATAATTGGCAACACTGCGTGTCTTCGCCGCATCTAAGCTTCTGAATGACCCCTGTTCAGATGCACCAGGCTGTACTTGGTTGCGTTTGAAGGACATTGGCCAACGGTCTGAGAACAGGACGACCCCGCAGTGCTGAGAGAGCGCGCCGCTCTGTACTTCGTGCTGCAGAAACAAACCATGCGCTGGAATCGGCGACGAAAATTTTGACTGAATATAGAGTAGAGGATGGGATTCGCAGCTGAGTTGACGTAGACCAGGCTGATCACGAAGGCGTGCCACATCCACCTCTTGTGAAGGGGAAACGGTCGAAATGTAGTATAAATTAACATCCCCTGTATAGGAGAATAACTGATTAAGTAGAGCACTACGCTAGCAACCAGCATCTTAATGACCCCTCGTCTTGCTTTCAGTGCATCCGACTCCCCTTTGTCTTTTCGGCCTCCATGAAGTTCCTCCGCCCCAGCAAAAAGCCTATGCCCTACTATAGTGTACAGCACAATAAGAATCACCATCGGCACAATGTACCACAATGTCATTTCCGCATACTTCCAGGCAGAAAAAATGCTGCCATGATTGCCCGGGAACCTTGTAGCACATTTCGCATCAGTTGCGTTAGGAGGGGTGCCAATGACGTTAAAAATGGGAATGGGAATTGCGAATGCAGCTGACAATGGCCAAATACAGGCGATTCCAATCAAGGTGTTACGTCGGTTGCACAGTATATTGGCTTTTAGGGGATGAACTATGGCAATGTACCTAAAATAGAAATAAAATGGGAATAGGCTCTTAGTTTCCAGTAAGTCTAGCAATAAAATGGTGGTGTTCACCTAAATAACTAGGTCACTGTCATATATTAAAATGCAAGTGTTAGATCGCATTCACAACGAGTTGAGCCAGGCTTTACAAATCCTGGGGACTAAATATGGCGGTCGTACATGCCGCCTCTCACACGCCTCCCCACACGTCGCCCCTGCGGGGGGNAAATAGAAATAAAATGGGAATAGGCTCTTAGTTTCCAGTAAGTCTAGCAATAAAATGGTGGTGTTCACCTAAATAACTAGGTCACTGTCATATATTAAAATGCAAGTGTTAGATCGCATTCACAACGAGTTGAGCCAGGCTTTACAAATCCTGGGGACTAAATATGGCGGTCGTACATGCCGCCTCTCACACGCCTCCCCACACGTCGCCCCTGCGGGGGGACAGTCATTAAATCTCGGCTCCATTGGGACGACACATGGGGAGGCGTGTGAGAGGCGGAGAGACTATAAAAAGATTAGGCGGTTTTTCTTTCATGTACAGGTACGTCCGCCATATTTAGTCCCCAGGATTTGTAAAGCCTGACTCAACTCGTTGTGAATGCGATCTTAGTTACAAAATGGAGATAGTAAGTGACACAAACATGAAGAAAACAACACAGAAAACAATCTGCATCATCGAGATGATAAAAAATAACCATATCGAATCCGTAAAAAGTGAAACTACCCTGTCTAACTGAAAATAGATATATGTATTTGCTAGACAGTAGAGTAAGACGGTTCCTTGTATGTTATAATCAATACAATATAAAAGTGTGCTCTTTAATATCGTGTATTCAATTCCTTTGTGTCCTTTACTTTATGCACATCAGGTACGAGTACAATAGGTAATTACTATACAGAGTAAACAGACCGATGGGTAATCCTGTTAATTCCGTGATAGATTTGATTTCAGATCATAAAAACACGATAATTAGAGACTGGTCCCGTGCCTCGTTGTATTAATTGTACGACGGCTGTGTCTTTAACACATGACCCGCGAAGAAATTAAAAAAAAAAACAGGGTCTAATGTGAGGATCTCGACGTTAATGATGATGAACGAGTGAATCACAAACATTCACCCCAAGAGGTAAAAAAGTTTCAATCAATAATTGATTTTAAAAGTTCTTTATACAAAGTGATTCCAAGCCTCTTGGTATCAGTTGCTGCTCCACATTTCAGTAAAGAGAATCGATTTATATTCTTGAAGAGGAAAGTTGAAAGTTATCTTTCCCTTTGTAGCTCTTCAGCTTGCTGAGACTCTGGATCCAGATCAACTAACGTTTAGAAGTATTTTCCGAATACTCACTGGGCTGCTTTACAAAACAGCTGTAATTTAAGTGTGCTGCAAAACAGATAAATGCCATGAAAGGGTAATACTATTTTTCAATATATCGGCTTTATTCATTCATTCATTCAATTATTATCATTATCATTATTATCATTATTATTGTTATACAAAAAAGAAGAGAAGGACAGAGAAGTATGACAGAGCATTTATTTAATCTTTTAAATAAAAATTCGGAATAACTGAATTTCAATATCAAATCACCGTAAGACTAGGGTAAATATCACCCTTACACTTGTGATACTGTGTCCTAGATGAAGTCAGTTTTGTCGCCGCCACATTGCTGTCGGTGGTCTCTGTGTCTGAAGTTCAGAAGTCCATAAACTATTCTACATGTAGTTAAAAGAGCACCACCTGGGACCTGTCTCTTCAACGAAAAGAAAGTGCCAACACACACATACACACACACACACACACACACACACACACACAAACACACACACCTCCTTAACACCTGACGTTTTGCTCTTTCAAGATATGCGTACATATGCGTATCTCTTCGTTATGATGGAACGTGACGCCTAAATAAGTCCACCGATCACTTTTTTTAATCGTGTATGACAGGGCTCGTCCAACTGAGTTACACTGTACATTTTTTTTCTCTTGGTTTATTACTGAGCCGCTTCAAAAGTTTATTAGCTGTTGATCTCTGTGTCTGAAGTTCTGAAGTCCATAAACTATTCTAGTCAAAAGAGCACCACCCAGGACATGTCTCTTCAACGAAAAGAAAGTGCCAACAAAAAAAAAACACAAACCTCCTAAACACGACGTTTTGCTCTTTCAAGATACGCGTATATGCATATATCTGTCCGTTATGATGGAATGTGACGCCTAAATAAATGTACTGATCACGTCTTTTAATCGTGTATTAATTGAGTTACACTGTATGTTTTTTCTCTTGGTTCAGTACTGAGCCGCTTCAAAAGTTTATTTGAAGTTCGTCTTCTCCATCACGCGTTCCCTTGAGGTTGTCGGGACGACGGTATCATCCATCAACAACAGTGTGGAAAATGATGTGTTTCGAAAAGAAATCTCTAGATAATTAGTCGTAACCATATGCCATTAAAAGAATACTGCTAAACCTGAGAATGACTTACGATGAAGTTGCTTCTTGGAAGAAAGTAGTAAATCTTTGCAAAATGCATTTTGATAGACATGTACATTGCATGGCTTCCTCTAAGACTTCAGACAGATGAAGTTAACCAGGCAATAAAATATAATGGAATGATATAATGGTATGTCTCTAAGTGTGTTTTTGATAAAAGCCATTTTGTTATGACTGGCGCAAAAATTCAATAATTTGAATAATTTAAGGAAAAGATGGCCTTTGCAGAAACTTTGCCGTTTTACAATCGATTCAATAAATATTATTGATTACGCTCCCCATGAAGTTATCCTTATGCTGGCGGACTTTTAATACTTTCGTATGGAATTATCCTGCATGACAAATGATTCCATTCTTCTTTAAGCGTCTATCGTCTCGAGTATTAAGTATGGTTTTTCTTAAAGTCATACGAATTAAATTCTGAGGAATTATTTGCATAAGATTTACGTCTTAGTGCGGCTAATTCCCAAAAATTGAAATCTTAACCTTGCAAATGCATTCCACCATATTTGCTAAGTATCAAATATAGTAAAAAGACAATGAGATATTCTTCAGAGACAAAGAGTGTGATACAGTGTGAATTAAAGATAGTAATAGCCTAAATGAAAGTGTTTAAATGTTTATTAAACAAGCATGTGCGTTTATATTAGTTAAAACAATATTCGATATTTGGATAAAACATCGATATCTGTGTTAAAAAATCAACTACAAGGTGTGCAGAGTTAGAAATTGCCAAATTAACGTGAGAATTGTTTGTCTTTTTACAATAACAGGCATATCTATTCGTTCTCTCAATGAGGTCTCTTTTGTCAAAGCGTTAATGGCTTCTGAATACATGCATTTTACTTTATTTTCCCTGCATTGGCAACAGATTGATTGGTCGAGCAATGAACACTTATTAGAATACAGCAGACCTTATGATGTATTCTCTAAAAGCCTTTGGTTCAATCTCATCCAATTTCAATACAATTCGTATGTATCGTTCAATGTGTAACACTTCACAAATTCCCAAAGGAGCCTAATGGCGGAAAGATGGAGGGAATAAGATTGCTGTTTTTATGAGAAATTGATCAAGATCTATTATGGTTCTGATTAATTCAATGCCCAAATAATTCACTGGAACCGGGTTTTCTTTATCTTATCTGTTTTGCGACACTAGTCTAGCCCGTGATTATCATCCATTAGAATGGGATATGGTAGAAAATAAGAACATTAATTGCACAGTTAAAGGAGATTCAAACACTCGACGAAAAGGAAGGCGCCGCTCGAAAAAAGGTGGTTAAAGATGAATCGGATCAATAAAACCTTAGTTCTGGAGTGTGAACACATTTTCAAGATCCCCTAAAAACTGCAAAATCGAAAAAAATATCCAACTCTCTAAAACCAAATGCAATATAAACATTTAAAGCCATTGTGTCGCCCATAACGCACTACGTAGAATGTGTTTTAGAATTTGCGCTGTAGAAATCAAGAAACAAGCAGCAAGTTTAACTGTAAAATGACACAAAACTAATGAAAATGACCGTTCTCGATTCAATGTGTCCAGGGCTTCCTAATGCACGTAATAGGTTGTTTGCTCTCCCTAGGTGACCATAGATGCTAATGACATCATACAGAAAAGGTTGACACAGACCATTAAATGCAGTTCTCTGTATTTCTCTCCTAGCTTAGAGATTAAATCTACAATTGTCGTGCACTTGCCCGACAATTAAAGAAATGTCAAACGCAAAAGGATCAACTTTACACGAAATGCGCGTGCCACACCAACATAGATTTGTTCAATTTATATTAGTCCTCAGGGACATGGGATTTAGAACACAATACATTAATGTAAAATTGTGGCAAGAGAATTGATAGCCTAGGGGTCCATTGCCTGATCACACCGAAGTCCACAGAGGGTAGGAATTTATTAGACCTTGATTTCAATAATGACAACTTTCTTCATTTCACTCCATGATTGAGTATTTTTCTCTCCATTAAAACATGGCTTTAAACCTTTTTAAATCTGTGAACAAACTATGAAATAAAGAAATATCTCCTCAGCAGACCACAACAATTTACGATTAATTATGTCACTTCAAGCAGCATATAAGTGCTGCTTGTCGATTACACTTTTATTAATTTCATTTCAAGGTTTGGCCTATACCAAGCAGTCCATTATATCTGATATCGGTATTACACGACATATCAAATCTTTACATTCGTGATAGGAATCTAGATGGGCAATCTGATTGATTGATTGATTGACCGATCACCTATCACGGCCAATTGATATGCAGTTAAATGGGTGTACATGTATGTTATCCGACACGGTTCCATTATTTCAATCAATACTTTTAAACGAGTATTAACTCTCCGTTGTTTATCAAATCGCGCAATGCAAGGGAGTAAGGAACCTTTTCGCCTCAAGAGAATTTGGCCAAGTGAGATGAAACTCTCGCTATGGAATTCTTCCTGTGCATGTTGCACTGTTAAAGGCCTTTATTGGTACAAAAGGGAACGATT